GCCGTGATAGGTTGCCACCTTTGCAATAAGTCCATCCGTGAAATGTCCTGGCTACTAAATATTCAACTGTTAGTGGTATTATAACAAAGTGGAAGCAACTAGAAACAACAGCAACTCAGCCACCAAGTGGTAGGCCACGTAAAATGACAGGGTGGGGTCAGCGCATGCTGAAGCGCACAGTCAACAGAAGTCGCTAACTGTCTGCAGAGTCAATAGCTAAAGACCTCCAAACTTCAATGGCCTTCAGAATAGCACAACAGCAGTGTGTAGAGCGCTTCATGGAATGGGTTTCAATGGCCGAGCAGCTGCATCCAAGCCTTACATCACCAAGTGCAATGCAAAGCGTCAGATGCAGTGGTGTAAAGCACGCTGCCACTGGACTCTAGAGCAGTGGAGACGTGTTCTCTGGAGTGACCAATCACGCTTCTCTGTCTGGAAATCCAATGGATGTGTCTGGGTTTGGCAGTTGCCAAGAGAACGGTACTTGCCTGACTGCATTGTGCCAAGTGTAAAGTTTTGGTGGAGGGGGGATTGCGGTGTGGGGTCATTGTTTCGGGGTTGGCTTGGCCCCTTAGTTCCAGTGAAGGGAACTCTTAAGGCGTCAGCATACCGAGACATTTTGAACAATTTCATGCTTCCAACTTTGTGGGAACAGTTTGGGGATGGCCCCTTCCTGTTCCAACATGACTGCGCACCAGTGCAAAAAGCAAGGCCCATAAAGACTGGATGAGCGAAGTTTGGGGTGGAGGAACTTGACCTGGCCTGCACAGAGTCCTGACCTCAACCCAATAGAACACCTTGGGATGAATTAGAGCGACATCACTGCCTGACCTCACAAATGTGCTTCTATAAGAATGGTCAGACATTCCCATAGACACACTCCTAAACCTTGTGGACAGCCTTCCCAGAAGAGATGAAGCTGGTATATCTGCAAAGGGTGGGCCAACTCAATATTGAACCCTATGGACTAAGACCAGGGTGCCATTAAAATTCATGTGCGTGTAAAGGCCCAATACTTTTGGCAATATAGTGTGTGTGTGTGTGTATATATATATATATATTAATTTTTTTTTGGGGGGGGGGGTTTACGTAAAGCTACAGTATTTACCTCCCTGTGTAGATATATGGGCATTGGCATCATGGGTCATTCCTGTCTAGTAATCTTTCTAAGATGATATGGTACAGTCAATACCTGAGAAGTATGCACACACATGATTCTGGTCTGGAATAAATGGTGGCCTAGTGGAGTAGAATCCTCCTGCTTGGCATTGATTGGAAAGGTTGCCTTGGGTGCAGGCTCCTGGAAACCTAGGCCCTCATGTCTCAATCTCAGTGTTCAGTGGGATCCCCTATAGATTAAGCTTGGAAATGAAAGGTGTAGTTAGTAGGGCCATGGACCAAGCATCACTGAAAATTTAACTGTAGGCCTTGGCGCAGGCACTGGGTTAACAACCTGCAGTGCATGGGTTTTACTCCTCTCTTTCTCTGATGAGCTCCAGTCAAGTTGGAAAACTTAGATCAGACTTTCTGAGTAATTTTATTATCTTTGTACTTTTTCTATAAATATTCTGTAATATTCATTTCGATTTGTTTTTTCTACTTATTAATGATTTTCTCTTTATAAATAAATACAAACTTTGCTTATTTTTGCACCTTTGTTGTTGCTGTTGTTAATAATAATATTATTATTATTATTTATTTTTTGTAGCAGATCTCTAGCAGATTAGGTTAATTAGGAATAGATAAAATACGTAGATTTCATTTGCTGCAGATAAAAAGTATACATTAAACTATCTCACTTGTCCTGTTTAACCACCTCAAAACTGGGCACTTTCACCCCCCTTCCTGCCTAGGCCAATTTTCAACACTGTCGCACTTTGAATAATAATTGCACATTCATGCAACACTAGATAGAGCTTTCTTTTGGTGGTATTTAGGCCTCATGTACACTGCTGATCCTGAGTTCAGGAGTAGAGATGAGCGAATCGAACTTAGCGAAGTGAACTCATTTCGAATATTAGGAAAATTCGATTCGCATCGAATCCGAATTTTAGCAAACTTCGGATGCACGAATCGAATTTTCCCCGATCAGCCGGCAAAAGTGTCACTGCAGAGAGCTCCGCTATTTCTGACAGTTCTCTGACAGTTTCTGACAGTTCATTTACAGCGGTTGAAACATTGTATCTATTTGTTTCCATTTAGGATACAGATGTTTTTTATTCGGAAATAAATAGATACAATGTTTCAACCGCTGTAAATGTGAAGGAACTGTCAGAGAACTGTCAGAAATAGCGGAGCTCTCTGCAGATACACTTTTTGCTGTACTGAAATTCTTCTTCTTTTCATTCTTCTTCTTCTTTTCAGTCTTCTTCTTCTTCTTTTCATTCTTCTTTTCATTCTTCTTCTTCTTTTCATTCTTCTTCTTCTTCTTTTCATTCTTCTTTTCATTCTTCTTCTTCTTCTTTTCATTCTTCTTCTTCTTCTTTTCATTCTTCTTTTCATTCTTCTTCTTCTTCTTTTCATTCTTCTTCTTCTTCTTTTCATTCTTCTTTTCATTCTTCTTCTTCTTTTCATTCTTCTTCTTCTTCTTTTCATTCTTCTTTTCATTCTTCTTCTTCTTTTCATTCTTCATTTCATTCTTCTCATTCTTCTTTTAATTCTTCTTTTCATTCTTCTTCTCATTCTTCTTTTCATTCTTCTTCTTCTTCTTTTCATTCTTCTTCTCCTTCTTTTCATTCTTCTTCTCCTTCTTTTCATTCTTCTTCTACTTTTTCATTCTTCTTCTTCTTCTTTTCATTCTTCTTTTCATTCTTCTTCTTCTTTTCATTCTTCTGCTTCTTCTTTTCATTCTTCTTTTCATTCTTCTTCTTCTTTTCATTCTTCTTCTTTTCATTCTTCTTTTCATTCTTCTTCTTCTTCTTCTTTTCATTCTTCTTTTCATTCTTCTTCTTCTTCTTCTTTTCATTCTTCTTTTCATTCTTCTTCTTCTTCTTTTCATTCTTCTTCTTCTTCTTCTTTTCATTCTTCTTCTTCTTCTTTTCATTCTTCTTCTTTTCATTCTTCTCATTCTTCTTTTCATTCTTCTTCTCATTCTTCTTTTCATTCTTCTTCTTCTTCTTTTCATTCTTCTTCTTCTTCTTTTCATTCTTCTTCTTCTTTTCATTCTTCTTCTTCTTTTCATTCTTCTTTTCATTCTTCTTCTTCTTTTCATTCTTCTTCTTCTTCTTTTCATTCTTCTTTCATTCTTCTTCTTCTTCTTCTTTTCATTCTTCTTTTCATTCTTCTTCTTCTTCTTCTTTTCATTCTTCTTTTCATTCTTCTTCTTCTTCTTTTCATTCTTCTTTCTTCTTCTTCTTTTCATTCTTCTTCTTCTTCTTTTCATTCTCCTTCTTTTCATTCTTCTCATTCTTCTTTTCATTCTTCTTCTCATTCTTCTTTTCATTCTTCTTCTTCTTCTTTTCATTCTTCTTCTTCTTCTTTTCATTCTTCTTCTTTTCATTCTTCTTCTTCTTTTCATTCTTCTTTTCATTCTTCTTCTTCTTCTTTTCATTCTTCTTCTTCTTCTTTTCATTCTTCTTTTCATTCTTCTTCTTCTTCTTTTCATTCTTCTTTTCATTCTTCTTCTTTTCATTCTTCTCTTTTCATTCTTCTTTTCATTCTTCTTCTTCTTTTCATTCTTCTTCTTTTCATTCTTCTTCTTCTTTTCATTCTTCTTCTTCTTCTTTTCATTCTTCTTTTCATTCTTCTTCTTCTTCTTTTCATTCTTCTTCTTCTCATTCTTCTTCTCATTCTTCTTTTCATTCTTCTTTTCATTCTTCTTCTTTTCATTCTTCTTTTCATTCTTCTCATTCTTCTTTCATTCTTCTTCTTCTTCTTTTCATTCTTCTTCTTCTTCTTTTCATTCTTCTTTTCATTCTTCTTCTTCTTCTTTTCATTCTTCTTCTTCTTCTTTTCATTCTTCTTTTCATTCTTCTTCTTCTTCTTCTTCTTCTTCTTCTTCGTCGTGCCCCGTGACTGCCCAAATGAGTGAAGTGTGCGGTGATTCTAAGATCGACGGCACTCATCTGCATGTCATACTGACTGACAGTATTATTTCTCTTCCCCAGCAGACTCCAAGGGCATTTAAATTAAAGGTACAGTGTTCTGCACTAATAAAAGGCTCTCTGAAGCCTAGAAACCCTTTTAATAAGTTAAATTCGCGGCAAATAAATTTGCATCGAATCGAATTTCTCCCGCAAATTCGGCGAATCAGCCGAATCGAATTTTTGAATAATTCGCTCATCTCTATTCAGGAGCTTTGGGTGATTTTTGCCAAAGTCCTTGAACTCAACTCAATAGAAGCCTACGTGTCCATGTACAAATAGGCAGTTAAATGTTCCTCTTCTTCTTGAATGCAGAAGAATCGTGTTCAGGAGAGGAACGTTTTGGCCCAAAAAAAAACACTAAACGCAGCAAAAATGCATGTGAATGCATCTAAAAAGTGTCTGACGATTAGTCGCGTTTAGTCATGTCCATGGAAAATATTCTGGCCCATCAAATGAATTAACATCCAAGCACTAAACGCTGGTAGTTGCGGTACTGCATTTGCATGTTGTCTGCCGCGTTTTGCATTTTTCTGCTGCCAGGAGAGCTAAACATCAAGGGGAGTTCATGTGTACACGAGGCCTTAATCAACACTGGGTTTTTATTTTTTGCTAAATAATAAAACGACCAACAATATTGAAAAAAAAAATTACATTTTGCAAATAAATAATTGTTCTTCATGAATTTAGGCCAAAATGTATTATGCTGCATTACTTTGGTAACAAAAAAAAAGCAATTTTTTTACAAAATTGTTTTTTTGTTATGATTTTGTTTTTAACCGCCTCCCGCCCGCCATATAGTACAATGATGGGCCAAGGTGGTTCTCTCATTCTGGGAGGACATCATATGACGTCCTCCCAGTCTAACTGTGCATGCGCAGCTCTGGGAGCGCGCAAAGCGGCGATCGGAGGTGCGCTGTGTTCATCGGACACAGCGGATCACTGATCAACGGAAAGAGCCGAAGATGTTGGCTTGGTCATGTGATCAGCTGTGTCCAATCACAGCTGATCACATGTAAACAGGGAAATGCCGGTTATCGCTGACAGAGGAGAGGTGGTAATCGGCATTCTTCGGAGGGGACATCTACACTGATCAACAGGGCACTAATGATCAGTGTGTCCTGATGATCTGTGTAGCCCCAGCAGTGCCACCTGTCAGTGTCCATCAGTGCCAGCTGTCAGTGCTCATCCATGCCACCTGCCAGTGCCCATCAGTGCCACATCAGTGCCACATTTCAGTGCCTACCAGTGCACATCGGTGCCCATCTGAGCTGCCTTTCAGTGTCACCCATCAATGCCAGTCAGTGCCACCTATTAATGTCAGTCAGTGCCACCTATCAGTGCCACCAATCAGTGCCAGTCAGTGCCACTGGTCAGTGCCGCCTATCTGTGTGCATCAGTGCTGCCTATCAGTGCCCATCCGTGCCACCTAACAGTGCCAGTCAGTGCCACCTAACAGTGCCAGTGTACCAGTGCCACCTATCAGTGTCAGTCAGTGCCACCTATCAGTGCCGCCTATCAGTGCCATATATGAGTGCTGCCTTTCAGTGCCCTTCAGTGATGCCTGCCAATGCCCATCAGTGCCACCTACCATTGCCTCCTCATTAGTGCCCACCAGTGCCACCTATCAGTGTCCATCAGTGCAGCCTATCAGTGCCCATCACTGCAGCCTCATTAGCGCACATCAGTGAAGGAAAAATCACTTATTTAAAAAATTTTATAACAAAAACTAAGAAAAAAAAGGTTTTTTTTTCAAGATTTTCAGTGGTTTTTGGTTTGTTTAAGAAAAAAGAAAAAAACCCAGAGGCGATTAAATACCACCAAAATAAAGCTCTATCTGTCACAAAAAAAAAGATAAAAATTTCAAAGGGGTATAGTGTTGCATGACCGCGCAATTGTCATTCAAAGTGTGACAGCGCTGGAAGCTGGAAATTGGCCTGGGCAGGAAGGGGGTATAAGTGCCCAGTAGGAAAGTGGTTAAAATACTGTGACCAGAGCAATACAATGTTACCATAGTAACATTGTACTACTCTGGGAAACTGATCAGGATTTTTTTTTTATTTTTTACAAATTATGATTGCTTATAGCAGTAAATTTCATTGCTATAAGCAAGCATTTTGCTGAATGAAATTGATTAATTCAGTAAGTAATCACAATCACATGGTACAGATGAGCTTGTCTGTACCATGTGATTACCATGACTATTACAGCTGGAAACACAATTGTATACACTAAATGGCATGAATGGAAGCCATTCATTGTTTACAATGTTAATGTGATCTGCTGTGATTGGTCACTGCAGTAGCATGGTACAGTCAGCGGGCCGGTATAGTGATCTGTCATCGGTGTCAGGTGGACACAGCGAGTGACAGCTCGCCTCCACAGTGTGGAAGCACAGCAGTGCGTATGTTGCTTTCTAGGAGGATGTCATAAGAAATGACGAAAGTCCCACCTGGCCTGGGGCAGACTGACCATTTGGAAACTCGGGCACTGCCCAAGGGCCCGGGGTCAGTAGGGGGCCCCATGAGATGCCCCTGGTACCTTTTTCATAGGCTTTTTTGAGTTTGGGCAAGGACACAGGGGCCCTATGATCCCCTATTGCCCGAGGGCCCCATGAGTTGTAAGTCCGCCTCTGCACCTGGCTGTCATATTACAATAGGCCAGGCGGGAACTGGGTAAAATGACAGTAATATGTGATTAGGCAACAAAGCATTGCAAAGTTATTTGCAAAGTAAAAAACTTTTTTTTAAATTTTGTACATTTTTAAAAACTGTAACATCAAAATATTAACAAGAATATGGAAAAAAGCAGGAAAGAACTAGCTAGGGGGGGTTAATTAGTGCTGATTAGGATAAATTAAGGGATACTAAGGGGGTAAAAAAAACAAATTTTAATTTAATGTAATTTAAAAAAAAAAAAAAATATTTTTTACTTGTCAGGTTGCTTTAACATAATAAGCAGACCAAAGCTCATATCTTTCATCTTCAGCCTAAGGCCCCTTTCATATGGGCAGTCCGCTTTGGTGTGCCTGTCTGTTTTTTAGGTGGACCTGACCGGATCCTCCATTCTCCTCTATGGTCAGTCCAATGTAAATGGACTTGTGTCCGTTTACACTCTGCTACCTCCGATCTGATCTGGCAAAAACAAATTGAAGGGGGATCTGTTCCCCTCCGTCTAGATCACAGGGCAGTAGGTGTAAATGTACAGCCGGCCTATTTACATCAGACTGCCCATACAGGAAAGCAGGCTGTGTCTGTGTCCGCATTGCATGAGCAGAGCAGACACAACCCTCATCAGGCAGCTCAGCTCAGCAGGGTATCAACAGATGGATCCCCTGCTGAGCAAAACCAGATCTGGCACATGTGAAAGGGGCCTAATGCAACAGAACATACAAAACTAACAATATTACTTTGTATCTCTGAATCACATCTGAACAGTGTTTATAATCACTTTGTCAAAAGGTCCATTTCTGATAGCATCTCCTGTATTTACACAGCAACTCCCAGCTGTCAAAATGGATCTCTGGCAAATGAGGCAGGGAGGAGCAGCAGTAGGGTAGAAGGACAGGGCATACTAACACCCTGTGTACTTTAAGGAAGTTATTAATATATTATTTATTAATAATAACAATAATAATAATAATAATAATATGTTATATATCACCTTTAAACATAGTTTCTCAAAGCACTTTACAAAGACAAGAGAAAAAAAAACCCACAAGAAATACACAGGATAAAACAAAAGAAAAAAAGGAACAATTACATAGAAAACTTGTCTAAAGAAAAACAGTTTTTACATTTGATTTGAAGGAATTTAGAGAAGATAACTCTCTGATGTTCTTTTGTAGTGAATTAGTTTTGGAGAATAGTAGGAGAAGGTTCTGTCTTCCATCGAGTGTAGGTGAGTAGGGGGGACACAGAATACCAGAATTTGAGGAGCTGAGGTTACGAGGGGGGAGAAGTAAGCTGATAAAAGTTCAGACAGATAATGGGGTACCAAGCTATGAAGGGCCTTATAGATGAGCAAAAGGACCTTAAAGTCTATGTGAAACCCAAGGGATAGCCAATGCAAGGACTCTAGCATAGAGGTAATATGGTCACTTGTACCAGACCTAGTCAGGATTCTGGCTGCAGACTTTTGTATATATTGTAGTCAATTAATAGTGGATTTACTGTAGGTACACCAGAGAGTAAAGCATTGCAGTAATCAAGTCAGGAGAACACGAATATATGGATCAGCTTTTCAGATACAGTGTATGATAGCATAGGACGCACCTGAGCAATATTTCGCAAGTGGAAAAAAGATCCTCTAACAACATTATGTACATGTGGATCAAAGGCTAAACTGGCATCAAATATCACTGCTAGATTGTCAATTTAACCATTAGCTGCCCAGCCTATAGCCGTTTGGCGGCCGCAAAAATGCTCTAGCTTTCCGGGGTGTACGCCATTTGGCGTCCTCCCGTACATGCGCAGTTCGCGTGGTTGCAGATCCGCGCAGCCTGTCGCCGGCCGTGTACCTCAGACACGGCCGATGACAGATCTGAGTACCGGCCCCCGTTGCCGGTACCATGTGACCTGCTGTGACCGATCACAGCAGGTCACATGACAGTTGTATACAATGGATGGCTTCATTCATGCCATCCATTGTATACTACTGTCTAGCTGTGAATGGTCACAGCAGGTCACACGTAGATGTCATGTGAGTAGCTGTGGCCAAATCACAGCTAAGCACAAAAAAAAAAACCCCTGAATGAATCGATGTCATTCAGGTAAATGCTTGCTTATAGGAAAGTAATTCTTTGCTATAAGCAAATTGTGTAAAAAAAAAAATACTGATCACTTCCCCAAAGTAGTACAATGTTACTATCGTAACATTGTACTACTTTGGTCATAGTAAAATATGAAAAACAAATCTTAAAAAAAATATATATATATATATATATATATATATATTTTTTTTTTTTTTTTCATACTGTCACCAGTCAGTGTCCCTGATCACCGCCATGCCAGTTATATGATGACGCTGTACTGCACTGGTGACAGTATGTAAAAAAAAAATAGTGAAAATAATTTTTTTAATTTTTTCATTTTCCAAAACATTATGACAAAAAAAATACAACTTCAAAAAACTCGCCATCCTCTTATGAAGTACGTCGGACTGTCTACTCTGCAAAAAGGGGTCATTTGGGGATATCTGTACTGTTCTGACATTCTTGGACCTCAAGAAATTAGATTGGCGTCAGTACTTCAGGATTGATCAATTTTCAGATCTATACCATAGTTTGTGAACTCTATAACTTTCCTACAAACTAAATAATACATCCTAATTTGGGTTATTTTCACCAAAGACATGTAGCAGAATACATCTTGGCCTAAATTTATGAAGAACAATTATTTATTTGTAAACTTTTATAACAGAAACAAAGAAAAACGTGTTTTTTTTCAAAATTTTGGGTCTTTTTTTTTTGTTAATTTTAGCAAAAAATAAAAACCCCAGCGGTGATTAAATACCACCAAAAGAAAGCTCTAGTTGTGTGAAGAAAATGATAAAATTTTAGTTTGGGTACAATGTTGTATGACCGCGCAATTGTCATTCAAAGTGTGAGAGCGCTGAAACCTGAAAAATGGCCTGGGCAGGAAGGGTAAAATTGCCCGGTATTGAAATGGTTAAACTGAGGCTCAAGTACAATGTCATCTACAGATAGGCTACCAGGATTGGCCTTACATAATTGATGGATTTGCTAATAAGCATGACTTCAGTCTTGTCCCAGTTTAATTGAAGGAAATTGTGTGCCATCCAAGTTTTTATATCATAAATACAGTTAGATAGGAGGAAAGCAGCCAAGGTGGAATATGGTTTAGTGCGCTTGTAGTACACCTAATGTCCGCAGGTGGTTAATGAGGTGCTGCATTGCATTGCTGCTTTTTAAATAATATGGTTATAGTATAATAATCTTATAATTAAACTGTACTTCCTTTTTATAAACATGGCTCTGTGGGGTTTTTTCAGACCAGCAGGCAAAGAAACTTTATCATCTCAGATAATGATGGGCAAGGGGCGGTCATGCTGTTTGTAGCACAGTGCATGCTATTTGACTGATGGCATGCCATCTCTGTGGTAGCAGAAGTACAGAGCTTTCGCTGTGTCTCAGAAAACAAATTATATTTGAAGTAAGTACCATTGTTATCACCCAATCAGGCCTAGAGCTAGTATGTCCAGCTCCAACTGGGAAAAAGTATTATCTGTGACACAAAATAATTTGCATCTGAACTTAACACTATGGGCTCAGTTCACAAAGATTTAATATGAGGATAAGGATCTTTATTTTACCATGTGACTAAAATTTTGATATCTTCTTAGGCTTGGATGAAATAAACTGTCACGTTTTTGTAAATGA